CACTACACCACCAGAGCTCCTTAGCTGTCCATGTTGTTGTTGCTGTTGTTAGGTGCTATCGAGTTGGACCCGACTCATAGCGACCCCTCCTTGGGTTTCTGAGGCAGTATCACTACGGAAGTAGATGATGGATATCCTTCTGGGTTCTCAATTCTGTTCAGTTTTTCTTTGTGTCATTGTACCAGGCTGTTTGAGCTACTGTGACTGTATAGTAAGTTATTCTTCAATAATGCTTTAATTATTTGGGGCCTCTTTCCTTTCAATGTAAGTTGGAGATTTAATTTTTCAATTTTGTCAAAGGATATTGTTGGGATTGGGATCTGAATGGCATTATAGCTATAGATCACTTTGGTTAGTATTCACATTTTCACCAAATTAAATTTTCCAACCCATGAGCATATATTATGTTTTTCCATTTATGTAGGTCTCTTTTGGTTTCTTGTATAGTGTTTTTAGTTTTCCTTATATAAGTCTTTCACATCCATGGTTAGATTTACTCCTAGATATTTTATCCTTTTGGGCACTATTATAAATAGTATTGTTTTCTTGGTTTCCTTTTGAGAGTTCTCCTTGTTAATATAGAGGAATTGAATTGATTTTTGTATGTTGATCTTGTACCCAGCCACTTTGCTGGATCTTTGCATTAGTTGAAGTAATTTTCTTGTGGAGTCTCTGGGATTTTGTGTATATAGGATTATATCATCTCTAAATAGGAATAGTTTTTCTTCTTTCTTACCAATCCGAATGCCATTTATTTCCCTTTTTTCCTTACTGTTCTGGCTAGCACTTTCCATACAATATTGAATATGAGTAGAGATAATGAGCATCCTTGTCTGGTTCCTGTTCTCAAGGGGAATGCTTTCAGTCTTTCTCTGTTGAGAATAATGTTAGCTGTTGGTGTTGTGTATATGCCCTTAATTGTCTTTTGGAATTTCCCTTTTATTCCTATTTGCTGAGAGTTTCTTTCAGGAAAGGGTCTTGGATTTTATCAGATGTCTTTTCTGCATTGATTGAAATGATAATATGATTCTTTTCCTTTGTTTTATTTATGTAGTGAATTATGTTGATTGGTTTTCTAATGGTGAGCCATCCTTGCATCCCTAGCATGAATCCTACCTGATTTTGATGTATTATTTTTTTTTGATACGCTGTTGAATTAGGTTGGCTAGAATTTTGTTGAGAATTATTGCATCTATATTCATGAGGGATATTGGCCTGTAATTTTTTTTTTATGTGTGTGTGGTATCTTTGCCTGGCTCTGGTGGCAGAGTGGGTAAGGCATTTGGCTGCTAAGCAGATGGTCAGCGGTTCAAACCCACCAGCTGCTCCACTGCTCTGCAGAAGGAAGATGAGGCAATCTACTTCTGAAAAGATTGACAGCCTTGTGAACTCAGTGGAAGTCTCTATGAGTCAGAATCAACTCGGTGGCAGTGGGTTTGGTTTGGTGTGGTTTTTTGCCTGGCTCTAGTATCAGAATTATACTTGCTTCGTAGAATGAATTCAGGAGTGTTCCATCATTTTCTGTGTTGTAGAATAGTTTGAATAGAGGTGGTATCAGCTCTTCTCTGAATATTTGGTAGGATTTTCCAGTGAAGCCATTTGGTTTGGGGCTTTTGTTGTTATTTAACTGACGTCTTCATTATTTTTTCTTTTGTTATGGCTCTACTTAGGTTTTCTGCTTCTGTGTTGTTAGGTTACGTAGGTAGGTATTGTGTTTCCAAAACTTTTTCTATGTCTTATAGGTTCTCAAATTTGTTAGAGTACGTTTTTTTCCACAAAATTGTGATTCTTTTTTACTCAGTTGGTTCTGTTGTAATGTCATCCATCTCATTTCTTATTTTTGATAATTCACATCTCATTTTTTTTTTCCCTTTGTCAATTTGGACTGTGGTTTGTCAGTTTTATCAAGCTTCTTAAAGAGTTGATTTCTGTTCTTGTGGTTCCTTCTACGCTGTTTCTGTCTTCCCTTTCATTTATTTCCGTTCTGATCTTTATTATCTCCTTTCTTCTTTTGCTGCTCCTTTTCTGTTTGTTCAAGTTGTAACATTAAGCTCTTGATTTTGACCCTTTCTTCTTTTTTTGATGTGTGTGTTCTCTGAACACTGCTTTTGCTGTGTCCAAAAGGTTTTGTTATGTGCCTTTTCATTCTTATTTGATTCTAAGAATTTTTAAATTCCTTTTTAAATTTCTTCTATTACCCAGTAGCTTTGAATCATCTTATCTTTTGACTAGGACTTTTCTCTGTGTTTGAATTTTCAGCTACATCAACATTCAGTGAAAATTTAGTTGTTTTGAATAGTCATTACTGTCAATAAGGAAAGATTCAGTTTTAAAGTGGAGTTTGTGTAAATTGTAAGTAAAGTAAGGATTCTCAAACAACAAAATTATTTGGTAAGGGAACCCTGTCATCACAAGCTAGAGAAGCTTGATTTAGCATTAGAGATTGAATACCCCAAGATTGAGGAGCTATTTCTTTTGTTGTTGATGTTCATATTTGACATTGAATTATATTTTTAAGTTACTATTTTCTAATATTATTAAGGTTAATAATTACTTTAGCCTGGTCTTTTCAAATGACACAGTAAAAAACACAGAGCAATAGAGAATCCCTAAATTTTGATACTAAGGAAGAGATGAAAGGAATATATATTTGACGATGAAAATTAACATCATATTTTGTAATCTTTTTGATTTTTTTAAGCGAAGTGATAAATATGAATTAAATTTTAAATGCATCACAATGGTTCATTAAGCTAAAACCAAAGTGTGTTCATTCTGAAGTTCTGCAAGATCCTCTGAAAATAAAGAGAAATCCATTTGGAAGTGTCATATACCACATCCCTACCTTAGAGTTTCATTCATTAAGAAACATTAACATTAGCATGTCAAAGATGTAAGAAATTCTGTGGTAAAGAACTGTCTTTGAGTTTGTTGAACCCTGTAGTTCCCAGCCTTGAACACACAAACTTCTTTGTTGTAGCTATTAGGTTGCAGCACACACTTAGGGTAACACATTGCCAAGTAATTAAAAATGTAATTAGAATTTGAAAGCATGTATACTTTCATTTACTGTTTCTGGTTAAGGTAATTGAACCTCTGGGAGACAAATGGAAGCTATTAGGGCTGTCCTAAAAATACTTATAAAGTGATAAAGAACAATAATTAGGCCATGATCTGAGTCAAAAGGTCTAGGAAACCTAAAGAAACATTTGATATTTTGCCTCAACTAGTTCACTCTCTTCAGTAAACTAGAAAATCTCTTTTAAGATTTTTACATGAAGAAATAAAGCCATCTACTACATAATATTATCTTTTAGCAGTTAACATGATGATACTAAGCTATTCTAACCCCCCTTTCCAAAAGTAGTTGCTTCCACTTTGATCTTCCACAGTCCCTTCCAGTGGTTTAATTTCTGGATAGATTATATAATATTTCTCTATATAATTTGTTAAAGGAGTTCTGATGGCTCAGTAGTTAAAGCATTCAGCTGCTAACCCAAAAGGTCAGCAGTTCAAATCCACCAGCCACTCTGGGAAAAAGATGTGGCAGTCAGCTTCTAGAACGATTTACAGCTTTGGAAACCCTATGGGGCAGTTCTACTCTGTCCTATACAGGTTCCTATGTTTTAGAATCAACTCAGTGGCAGTGGGTTTGGCTTTTTTGGTATATATAATTTGTTTTACACACACACACACATACAGAATGTAAGGTCCTAAAATTTTATTATTCGTAATTAAGTTTTAAGCTTTGCAGATTTTATCATTAATCAATTCTTCTGTATTATGGCTTAGGTCTATCAAGGTACAATTATACATATCCTGTAGAGCAGCTGGGAGCTCTGGTGGCCTAGTGCCTAAGGCATTTGACTGCTAACCAGAAGGCTGGCAGTTCAAACCCACTAGCCACTCCCCAGAAGGAAGGTTGGGCAATCTACTTCCATAGTGATACCACCTCAGAAACCCAAGAGGGGTCACTATGAGTCGGATCTGACTGCATTGTAGTGGTTGTGTTTTTGCATTTGTGGAGTGGCTGGTGGTTTTGAACTGCTGACCTTACCGATTAGCAACTGAATGCTTTAACCACTGCACCACCAAGCTCCTTCAGCAATGTGTATTTATGTTTTCATTCACATGTAATAGCTATTTTTCACAAGCAAATATCTTCTCATGGCAAGTTTCCAGAAGATGAGGGTCATGTATGCCACTGCCCCTTCCGTTACTCCCCAGAGATTAGTCTAGGGCTGTTTGGTACAGCCACTTCTCAGTCAACTCTGTTAACAGATTATGATAATATTAGGTCAGAATGCGCATTGCCTCCCATAGGCTGAAGGATGTCAGACTGTGATTCTGAACACTGTAATATGTATGGAAATCAACATTGGTATACTTGTAAATGTTTAACCAAAGACTCAGGAGGGAGAGAGGAGGACCCTAATTTTTAGTGCTTGCCAATTTCTGTGTAGAAACACTCCCACTGTGGCTTATTTAAAAAAAAAAAAAAAATCTATTGCAAGCTATCAACATGATGTCAGCTGGCGCACATAGTTTCTAAAAATTTGTCAATCAGCTTTCCCAAGCTGGTATGAGTCAGCTCCAGCACACCACTGTAGAAGCTGCCTTTAAGAATGAATTTGAAAATTTGCCAAGGAACAATAGAAAGGGAATGATTGATAGCATTTGCTAAATGCAATCCAGGGATCATAGAAAATAATCTTGGTAAAATATGCCAACAACCTAAATACTGAAGTAGGTAGAATGTAACCACTGTGAAGTAATACTTCTACTTTTAGAAAGTGAGGAAACACACACACGCACACACACAATTACCATCACCACCACTGCACTCATAGGGGGAGAGCATTGCTTTACATGACTTAAAGAGAAATTACATAAGATCCAACAATGCATACTAAAGTCTGTGGCTCTCAACTATTTCAGGGTTTTCAGTTTTACTTTAAGGATTGATTTCTCCTGATTGTAATCCTTGATTTATTGTACAGGTTGAAGGGGACCAGCTGCCTCCAGGGCATACAGTCAGTCAGTATGAGACCTGTAAGATCAGGACCATAAAAGCTGGCACCTTGGAGAAGCTTGTGGAAAACCTGCTGACAGCTTTTGGGGACAATGACTTTACCTATATCAGTATCTTCCTGTCAACATACAGAGGCTTTGCCTCCACTAAAGAAGTGCTGGAACTGCTGCTGGACAGGTAAGAGTCTGAAGGCATTTGAGAGTTGATAGAAATGTAGGGCTGTTTGCAGAACGAAGATACGAGGTTCTGAATCACCTGCATTCGGTATGCTGTAGAGGTATGTGTGAGGATGGGTTAACTGGAAGGAATGATTTCTGGAACAAATAGCATGGAGATTATTCAGGAAATACCTATGGCTTATTTCTGAGGAATAAATAAATCTCATAAAAATCTACAAAAGCATTAAGAGTTAATACCATAAATCTAGACTCAATTGTTTATGGATTTGAGTTACTATTTGTTATCCTAAGTTTTTTCCATTATTTTGTAATGCTATATAATGCCAGTAAATAATCAATTGACCAGGTTTCTTATAGGGTTGTTGTGAGGATTAAATGAAATAATGTGTGGAGCTCATTATTAGGCATATGTTGTTGTTGTTATGTGCCGTCAAGTCGGACCCGACTCATAGCGACCCCTCCTTGGGTTTCCGAGGCAATATCACTATGGAAGTAGATTGCTCCATCTTCCTTCCGAGGAGTGGCTGGTGGGTTTGAACTGCCAGCCTTCTGGTAAGCAGTCTAGTGCCTTAGGCACTATGTTACCAGAGCTCCCTATTAGGCATATAGGAAGCAGCTAATGAACTCTAATGATGATGATGATGATGATGATGATGATGATGGTATCAGCCATCATGTGTTGGTGCCTTATGAATATGTGTGTAAAGATGGTCCTTGATCTATGTTGTGAAGTCACATACTGCATATTGTAGAGTGGTGGAATTGTAATCCACACATCAATAATCTGTATTTTCCCCCTTATTTTTATTTATAATTAAACTTGGTCTTTAAAAAAAAAATCTGTTGTTGAATTGACTTGATGTTGGGAGGGAGAAAACTGACAGCCAAACAATTGTTTTAGAATTCTAAGAATCTGCATCCAAATCCTTATATTCTGCAGTTTCCTGCATAAGGAAGGAAATGAGATAGGGTGTTTTTGTTGGGTCATTGTGGTTGTTGATTTTTGTTAACTAGACTTTTTTATTTTAAAAGTAATACACACTCATGTTAAAAATTCTTGCATTACAAAAGGGTGTTAAGAAAATTGTTAAAGTTTTCTCATATTGCTGTTTTTTTTTATTCTTCCAAATAATAGTTACTAGATTTTTAAAAATAAGTAGAAACAGAAACAGAAAAATAAATAGACTATAATCTAACTAAGGGAGCTCTGCCAGCATAGTGCCTAAGGCATTTGACTGCTAACCAGAAGGCTGGCCGTTCAAACACACCAGCCACTCCTTGGAAGGGAGATTGGGCAATCTACTTCCATATGATACTGCCTCAGAAACCCAAGGAGGGGTTGCTAGGAGTCAGATCTGACTCGACGGCAGTGAGTTTTACCCTAACTAAGCAGAAATGTTTATTAACATTTTATAAATAGAAGTAATCCACATATATGGTGAAAAATTCAAACAGTTTAGAGAATTAAAAAATTAATTAAAATTTTCCTTTTCTCCAAGTTCCTGAGTCACAGTCCTCCTACGTAATCACTCAAAATCATTCGTTTTGTAGCATTCCAGAATTTTCTCTGTATACAAGGAGAATCACAATATACAATCTCTTTTGCAACTTTTTTCCTCATCCATGTATTGCAAACAATTTTTCTCATTAAATGTAAGTATTGATATACATAAAATGCTTAAAACCAGTGGCTAGTATATAGAAAGTATTCAAAACACGTATGTTACTATTATTTCAATATGAGCGCATACAGATAGATCTACCATGTTCTTTCTAATGGCTTTATAGTATTTATTGAATAAATTACTCAGGATGGACATTTCAACTATCTCAATTTTTTTTTTTTTTAACTTTTGTAAATACTGCTGCAAGGAACGTTTTTGAACACGTGTCTTTTGAGTATTTGAGAATTGTATAGAATAGGGAGCTCTGGTAGCATAGTGCCTAAGGCATTTGACTGCTAACCGGAAGACTGGCAGTTCATATCCACCAGCCACTTCTCAGAGGGAAGGCTGTACAATCTACTTCCGCAGAGATACTGCCTCAGAAACCCAAGGAAGGGTCACTAGGAGTCAAAATTGACTCGATGGCAGTGAGTTTGGTTTTTGGTCATAGAAAAGTGATCGATAGGTCAAAATATAAAACATTTTAAAATTTAAAAGATATTTCCAAGTCGCCTTCCAAAGGGTTTCACCAACCATACTCCTGCCCACAGAGAATAAGAGTGTTGTTTCAGTTCTCTTATGCCCTTGTCAGACATATTGTCAGGGTATTTTTATTTCTACTGATCACACCATTGAAAAATGGCAGCTCATTGTTTCTGAGTTTATATTTCTTGTATTTATGAGTGAGGTTTAGCATCTTTTGAGGTACTTATTGGACATTTGTGTTTTCTTTTCTATGTATTATCTTTTCCTATCCTTTGCCCACTTTTCTTTCGACCTAACATTTATCTCATTGTAACTATTTATAGATCAAGAAAATTAGTATTTTGCTTATCACATGTTAGAAATATTTTTTCTATGCATAGATGCATATGAAATGAAATTATTTGGATCAGTGGTTGTTCATGTGTTCATTAAGGAACATGCATGAAATATTTGTTCTTTATCATGTGTCAGTCTGGGCTGCAGCATAGATAGGAAGTTCTATAGTTTCTTATGTAGCAGTACTTGAGCGAATATTAAGCCTGGGATATGAACCTGTGGAGTTAGTCATTGCTTTCATAGTTCTTTTACTTATGTATCTCAAATCTATAAAGAGAACCTGAAGAATTACATATACAGTCTCTTTTTTATATTTCATACTTATATCAAAGGATGTAGTATGTTAACTGTTGGCAGGCAGTTTGAGGTCAGAACATCAAAAATTCCTGTAAGTTTACTTTGGAATTGGTAACTTCTTCTCCTCATGGGGCAAGTCCATTGATAATAGGCTGCAGATGTCCCCTCCGTATAGGAGTGTATGCGGATTCCAGCTGCCTGTCATAAATAGTGAACAGACACACAGGAATAAGAGTGTTTGTGTCTCACCTGCATCCAGCTTTTATTTGATGATTTCTTTTTTTTTTTTCCAACTATAATACAACCCACCAGCCACTCCTTGGAAGGAAGATGGGGCAATCTACTTCTGTAGTGATACTGCCTCAGAAACCCAAGGAGGGGTTGCTATGAGTCGGGTCCGACTCGACGGCACATAACAACAATAACACAATCATAATACATGGACATTTTTGGATTTTTTAACATACTGACTGGATGACAAATAACAGAATCAATATTAATTCAAACTACATTTTTTAAGGTGTAACTGAATGAAGAGTTAAGATTTATTTTGTACCATCCAAACCTTGAATTTAATGGCATAGTCCAGTCCTTTGCTTGCTTCTGAAATGAGTGGAATCAATGACTACTGAATGATTATAAAATACCCGTTGCTCTGCAAAACACCATGTGGATGGACCTCAAAGAAACATGACTTGGTCTTTGCACTCGAGACACTTCAGAAGTAGATATACTGTGAAGTTGATGGTACTTAAGCTCCTGGTTCCCTTATTTGCATAGGCCCTTTCCAGTACCTTCTGCATAATTCTATATTAATAATTTTGATTTTTTCTTCTTAGAGAGGACTCCTTAAAGGATATAGATTGGCTCCACAAAACCTGGATCCACTTCTGAATAAAATTTTACTTAAAAGATGAGGCTGAAAATCACGAAACAAGTAGACAACAGCTTAACACAGTAAACAAAGCTGTAACATGTTTTGCGGATGAAACAGTAGAGAAGTTCAGTGAGATAAGTCCTGTTTACTTATTTACTTATGTATAACAGAAATTAGAATTTGTCCATATACGTATAAATCTCAACATGAATATTTCTTCCTCACTCCATTTTTCATTCACACTTTAGATCTTGTGGTCAGAGTTTAATCTCTGAATGAATTTAACCAAAATGCATATTCTGTGAAATACCAAGTTCTTAAGTTGGTTGTTGGAGCTTTTAATGTCTGTAATTAGGAGGTAAGAAATTAAGTTGCATGAACGTGCCTTTTCCGAAAATAATCACTTGAAATATTATTTTCTTGTCAGTGAAATGTGGTAGATTTGTTTGTGGGTCACTGATGTGAATTTATTATTACTATTTCGTTTTGTTTCTTAATAGTAGATGGTGGATGGCTTACCTTCTTGAATTTAAAACTGAGACATTATCAGAACCCTAATCAGTCAAGAAGGGGCTCTGGTAGCATAGTGCCTAAGGCACTTGACTGCTAACCAGAAGGCTGGTGGTTCAAACCCACCAGCCACTCCTCGGAAGGAAG